CTGAAAGCCTTCCTAGAGCACATGAGCGAGGTCCAGCCTGACTCACCTCAAGGCATCTATGACACGCTCCTTGAGCTACGACTGCAGAATTGGGCCCATGAGAAGGATCCACAGGTGAGAGCTGCAAAAGCCGTAGGAGGTGCTAGAGAAAAGGCGGCTCTTCCATCTCTTGTATTTGCCTCTAGCTTGGGGGCTAAATGGTCCTCAGCGACGAGGGGGAGAGATAGTTGACTTGCCTTGCTCCAGGAGACTTGGTGGTTTTTCCCCCATGGCTAGCAGCTCTGTTCCTCTTTCCCTAGGTCAAAGAGAAGCTTCATGCAGAGGCCATCTCCCTGCTGAAGAGTGGTCGCTTTTGTGATGTCTTTGACAAGGCCCTGGTCCTCTGCCAGATGCACGACTTCCAGGATGGGGTCCTTTACCTCTATGAGCAGGGGAAGCTGTAAGTTTCGGGAAATTCCAGGGCAGGGGGAGGAGCCGTGTAATCTTCCAGGGACAGCCACTGAGGCGCCCTCACCCCGGCCCAGCTTTCAGCAGATCATGCACTACCACATGCAGCACGAGCAGTACCGGCAGGTGATCGCAGTATGTGAGCGCCATGGGGAGCAGGAGCCCTCCCTGTGGGAGCAGGCACTCAGCTACTTTGCCCGCAAGGAGGAGGACTGTAAGGAGTACGTGGCAGCTGTGCTCAAGCATATCGAGAACAAGAACCTCATGCCACCCCTTCTAGGTACTTGGGAGGAACGTGGGTGGGTGGCAGGCTGCTGACAGTCTGGGCTTCTGGGGCAGGGGCCCTTCAGCTCTCTCAGAGGGTGCTGCTTGGTTCACCATTTCATTTCCTCCTGGACCCCAATTTCAGTGGTACAGACTCTGGCCCACAACTCCACAGCCACTCTGTCCGTCATCAGGGACTACCTGGTCCAAAAACTGCAGAAACAGAGCCAGCAGATCGCTCAGGATGAGCTCCGGGTGCGGCGGTACCGAGAGGAGACTACCCGCATCCGCCAGGAGATCCAGGAGCTCAAGGAGAGGTACTTGCCCTCTGGATATGTGGAGGGGCCCAAGGGATACTTTCCTTCTTCACAGGATGCCATCTACTTCCACAGACAGATGATTATGTGGAATATGTTTGAACATTTCATTCTTGAAGATAACTTGTATTTTTTTCTAAATGAAGGCATAATTGCATGCCACATCATGTTCGTTTCAGGTGTACAACATAGTCACTCACGTGAAAATCTGTTTT